TAAACACACATATAAAGGGGTTGCAATTCCTGTCTGTAGAGTGTGTTACCTCTCTGATGAGCTGCTGCAGACTGTCATTAGTGACTCCTCTGCCTCCTGTAAGTCCTTCCTCTGGAGCCTTCCCACCTCTTTCACTTCCTTCTTCATTCATTTGCACTTCCTCTTCCTGTACATGTGTGTTGCCTCGAGGGGGAGGGACGGGTGTTATGTTGATTGATGCCCGGTATACACCTTGTCTCGAACCACTATCTCTTCTTACTCTAAGGATTGGAGTCGACGACCGGGTGGAGACGTTGGTTGAGGGTGTGTTCCCGTCATAGCTAAGCTCCGACTGGAGGGAAAATTGCTCTCGGAGGAGATCCGACACCTGTGGAGACAGAACACAGTTGTTCATTAAGGCAAATATTAGACTTATTAGATAAACTAAACTGGGATAAATGTATATATGTGTAAATGTGTAATGACCGGCTCCATGGCTCTCAGTGCAGAGGTGGAGGACAGACTGTCAACACTGTTGTCTCTGTGAAGACCCTGAGGAGGAGCCAGCCAGAGTAAACAGCTTTACAAACATGAAATGTCAAAGCAAGTTCCTTTCTGTTAAATGCTATTTGTTCAAGGATTCAAAAAAATACTTGACCAATTACGTCGGGGACCACAGCATAAACTAAGAGCTTTGAGAGAAGAGACAGCCAGCTTTGAGCCTCAGTATGCATAAATAAACAGTACATGAACATAGGGTCCTATGCTCATGGTTACCTTAAGGTCCAAAATGCACAACCATATGTGTACCATTTGCTGAATTTTAAGCATAAATGAAAGGTATTCAACAATATGTAGGAAAACAGAATATCCAGATTACCTTTAAAGGTATTAATGCATAGAGCTTTAAACAACAACAACTGAAGCATGTGACAAGTTGAAAAAATGAAAATGCATTACAATACGGTGTCATCTGCATAGCAGTGTTAAATTTATACATAAAACAATGTGATGATCTAAACCTTGGTTCTGTGTGGATGGTTTGGTACTTTGTATTTACCAAATACTGTTTATTGTGTATACAGTGTAGATATACTGTACCCTGTGCTGTGCCAGCTTTTCTTCCATCTGCTGTTCCAACTCTTGTAGTTGCTCTCTGATGGCTGTCCTCAGTGACTGGAGATGTTCTACCTCCAACCTACAGCCACATATATTAAGAAGACAAGGTATACTGTTGGTTTTTCACACTACAGTAGATACATGACCACAGTTGACATTACTCTCACACGTAGGTGTATTTGCTGTTATGAGTCACCTGTCAGAAGGGCTCAGATGTTTGTAGACCAGGGCTTGCTGTCGCATGACTGACAACTCCAGATCCATCATCTGACTGCGGAACAAGTTCAGACACTGCCTCTTCTGCTGAAACTCAGCCAAAGACTAAAGAGGGAAGTACATGTGTCAATACATTTAAAACACAAATAACTTAACACTTAACACTTAACAACTAAATGAAAAAGGTAAAAAAAAGTATTCAGACTGCACCTGGCTGGAGGGAAAAGAAGCTCCTTCACCTAACATGTCCGGAGTGTTGGCTCGGTTCTAAATTGAGATAATGTACATTTGAAATATGAAAAATCTAGCTTGATAAGAAAACAGCTAGAAACAAGTAGCACTAAAATGGATTGGACTGTAAACAAGATGGAAGGATTAGGAAATCGTAAGCTGATCAAACGGATACCAAACTAAAAACACCATCTTCTTCTTTTTCTTTCGGCTTTGTCCCTTTTTCAGGGGTTGCCACAGAGTGAAAATGTTTTCTTTGAGAGACAATATAAAAAGCTGTGTTTTACTGTTTTGATAGGAGAAAAAAGTGTTGCCTTGCACAGAAAGTCTGATTTAACTACAAAACATTACAAAAAAGTACAAAAAACAGCAAGGGTTTACTAAGAACACATGTCAGTATATCTTTACCAATGAAATAAAAGGGTATGCGTAGGATTAACACTGCTCTCATTGCAAGTTTGTCCTGCCCTTTTGACATTTCCCCCATGTGTGCCTCTCTGTATACTTTGTTACTTCACAAGGACAACAAGGCAGTGATCAGTACAGTTGATATTATTTGAATTTTATGCAAGTCTCTATTTGGATTAAACTGTGAATTTAGGGATATTTGACCCAACAATATCTCTAGGTGAGAAAATGACCACTTGGGTTATGACTACTTTTCAATAAAGGGCAAGAAGGGATGCACTGACACGTATACCAGTATTACTATCGAATACATGTACTCCAATAACTGGCATTCTCACCTCGCTGCTCACCAGTCAGCCAGAGTTGTGTGTTCTCACACTCTTGTTAGGTGACTCACTGGTCTCATGAGTAGATCATTTAGGTATGTCAACAACGTCTGAGGTTTGGAGTTATTTTAACATCACCGACAAAGACAGCGTTTTCAATTAAACATTAAATTTCAAAGTTTCAAAGTATTTATCTTTATTTATTAAATATATTTGTCTTTAGTTTGTTATAACTATTGTCTTTTACATTTATTGATGTATTGTCTAATGTGATGGCAGTGTCAGTTTAAAGACCTTGTTTAAAGCACTTTTTTTTCCTTTTGGTTTAAAATAGAACCCTATTAAACTGTTGTTTAGCTTGTACCAACATAAAACCAACCAACTATTTTTTGAACCCCAACCTGAAGAAAAATCAGTCACAGTATTAAAAAAAAAAAAAAAAGTACACAAATGAAAATACTCATAGTCGTAATGGTTAGTAACATAATGTTGCAGGACACACCTAAGGAAAACCAAAAATGTATAGTTTTGTCACTGAAACAGTAGGATTTCAAACAAAACTATCAAAACAAGACTAGAACACACACCTGGTTCAGACTCTGCAGAGTTCCCCGGATATCATGCAGAACCTTCCGCAGCTGCATTTCTGTGCTGGACAGGACCTGACTGGGCCCTGGCCCTGGAGCAGGAGAACATGGATAATGAGGGAACCCTGGGTGGAAACTGTGGGCTTGTCCATAAGCAGAAGTCAAGTCCGGTAGAAAGCCTGGGGCAGGAGGAAGCTGACCTGTTGGGAGTCCATGGTGTGTATATTGGTGGGGGGCAGGTTGGGGAAAAGCCATGGGTGGGTTTGGATTATAGCCATGGTAACCACCATAGGGTAAGGAAAACTGTGAAGCTTGAGAAGTGCCATGGTTTGATGCCTGAGGGCTGAATGGATGGTTGTAGACCTGGGGATTTTGGAAGGAAGGTTTTGGATGCTGATTACCTACATTTATGTTTGGATAAGAAGATGATGTAGAAGCATGATGTAGGTTGGAGAGGCTGGCGTGCAGAGGGGCAGAGGGTGGTGGAGGCTGGTGGAGGCTGGACATACTGGAATGATGGCGGATAGGGTGACTGTAATGGTTTTCAAGGATAGGAAGACTGGCATATGGTTGGAGAGGTGATGGGTATGGAAGGTTATCAGAGCCTGGGTACATGCTTGGATTCAGGGAAGGAGGGTTAGGAAGAGGGTTTGTGTACGGAGGAGTAGGAGTAGTACCAGGATGAGGAAACATCAAGTTCCCTGGATTCCAGCTGTGATTGACGTGGCTGTTGTGATGGATTTGAGCAGGTGAATGCAGATTGGACGAGAGATCAGGGATGCTCTGGGAGCTCCATGATGGGGCTTGATCAGCTAATGACCAATCAGTAGGTGGGCTGGAGCTGGTGAGGGAGCAGGGTGACCTTAACAGGTAGCGTGGAATGGGTTTTGGTGGGACAGAATTGTCTGGTGCAAGTCTTGACATTTGGCTTTTATTGCCAGTTGGAGAAACAGGATTAATGAGCAGAGTACATGTGCTACGACTCTCCTCATTTCCCCCTTCTATTTCTTCCTTGACGTCTGCATCCTTTTGAATGAACTTGTAAGAGTATGTGGGCTGTGTGCAGGAAGACTGACCTTGCCCAAACTGAATTCTGACAGAAGACACAACCCTAGTTGGAGAGATGATGGAGGAAGGCAGGGAGGAGGACCTCTGCAATGGGATGCTACGCTTCCCTCGTCCTCTCACTGTGCCCTGGTTTTTCTCACTGGAAGTTACTGGCACCCTTGTTCTACACTGATGGTTCCGTCTAGCCCGGTAAAGAGCACTTAGAACAGGAGAAGATGGAACAGGAAGAGAACATTCATCACCACTGTCCATGTATGCAGGTTCATCTTGAGAGCGGTCCTTTGCTTCCTCTATTTTTGTTGGAGGCACTGTGTCTGAAATGGTCTGTTTCTGTGTTATTTGTTGTGCATGTTCTGTTTTTACTCCCAATTCTGTTTTCGTTTCCTTTTGTTGTTCAACACAGAATGTTGTGCCTTGCTCAGCAGCTGGTTCAAGTTCTTTTTCTTTCTCAGATTCTGATTGGTGTTCTTCCAATGTTGGTCTTTGTTCTTGTCCTGGCTCACTCCAGTTTCCTTCCTCAGATGGGTCCAGTGTCTCCTCACTCTCACCCTGGTACGTTACCATTGGTCGGTTTTGGGGGAAATAGTGAGCTGTATACTGGGGAAATTGCTGTAAATTGTCCTCCCCTTCTTCTCTCGAGCTGCTCCTTCCCTTCACCTCGACATGTTCTGAACTTCCATTGTCCTCCTCTTCTTCCCTGGAGCTGCTCCTTCCTTTCATCTCAACATGTTCTGAACTCCCATTGTCCTCCTCTTCTTCCCTGGAGCTGCTCCTTTCCTTCACCTGGACATGTTCTGAACTCTCATTGTCCTCCTCTTCTTCCCTGGAGCTGCTCCTTCCCTCAACCCCAACATGTTCAGAGGTCCCACTGTCCTCATCACCGTCCTTGAAGCTATTTCTTCCATCGACCTCGACAGCATCACATGGAACCCATTCTTCTTCTTTGCCATCTGGCAAATCGAATGCTGATTGGTCTACAGCAAGGGGTGTAGCCACATCTTGTGATGGGTGTGATGTCACAGTGGTCTCACTGTCACAGCTGTCACAGCTTTCCTGTATCTGAGTAAACATGATTTAAATTTAGATTTTATATTTAGACATTTACATGTTAAAAACAAGCATAACTATAATGAAAAATAATAATATCATTCCAATTAAAAAACTTTTTTTGTTGTGTGATGTTGGCCTTAACAGTATTTATACAGTGTGACCGTCAACAACGTACACCAGTGGACACAATGCAGTACTTATCTGCAATCAGTTTCTATTTCATTCTCTTCTCATGATCTGTCTCAGGACTTATTTCCCAGAAGAACAAAAATCCTACCATAAATGTCAAGTGAAGCATAGGTAAACAACAAGCTTGGCTGACTATGAGACAGTAGCTGTAGTCTTAGTGTCTGCATACTAAGATCAGGCTGCCGCTTACAGAAACAGAAGATCGAACAGAAAGATAAAAGCGAAGATGATTAATGTTAATGAACAACTAACTACCTTGAGGTAGCCGTTAGAGTCTGCCGAGGGTTCCTCAGCAAAACCACTGCTGTCAGATTGCTGGCTGACTGTCCTGGACAAATCTACAGGTGAAAAGAGATCATAAATAAATAAAAAAGTGAATGTCCAGCAGAGGGCAGAACTTACTTTGAAGAAGACACCGATCTTTACCCACATGAGATTTGAAAACAAAACTGGTTAATTTATAATGATACCCAGTAACTATGCCTTTATCCACTGCATTGATTTTCTAATGATGGTAATAATAGCATAAGCATTGCAATTATGACATACTTTGAGGACTAAGTCTGACGTCTTTGTAAACTCACCTGCAGCTCTGGATGTTCTGTGAGGCAGACCCTCATCGTCGTTACTCTGAATCTAATCAAATCAAATCAAATAGAAGTTTAATTTAAAAAAAAAAAGCCTGATCCCTAAAACTAAAACAAATCTGACTGGACAATCTGAAAACATCAGAACATCGTACCTCCTCCATATCAAAAGAGTCTGTCTTTTCAGTGCGCAGCAGAGCCAGCTGAGGTGGGGCCAGGGTGTGAGGAGCTTTCACTGGGGTCGAGGTCAGACTCTTCTCAGTCACTATCTGAGATTCATCCTCTGTTCTCCCACTTTTTATTTGAGCACTATCTGACTCTGGTGGATGCTCTTCAAGGTTCACTGGTCTAGAGGGACTCTGTTCAGGACTGAAAGGAGTCATCATTTTATTATAGCTCAATATGGTCAGATCTGCCAAAACTTACAGAGCAACAGTGTTAAAATAGAAATGCTACAGAAAATACCCTGCAACAGTCGTACCTGTTCTCTGTCAGTGACTCTGTCTCTCCATCTGCGCTGTTTTCCTCAGTTACCGTAGCCAGAAATCCACTTTCTTTCTTACGGCTATACTTCGAGTTGACTATGTCCACCTGGTGGTCAGGACTGGTATTGGAGCTTTCCTGTTCTGGACAGTCATGTGAGTGACCATTGGACTGTGTGTGATCAGAGTGTGCGTGTCCATTCATCTGTGTCTTCTTGATAGCTGTTTGTGCTTCAGGTGATTCAGATGGAGCGGCAAGAAGATTGTGCTTGGTTATGGTTCTCTTGAGGAATTTGGCAACATTGCGAGCCGAGCTGGCCCTTTTTAAGGGAGGCGGCTCATCACTTCCTGCCTGTTCTCCATCTATTCCTGATCGAACAGTAAAAAAATGTTAAAAAGTAATTTATTAAAAATAATGTATCCCTTATTAATAAAGTCCCCTTTTTTTCCTGCTTTATTACCGTGTTCCTTAGTGGCAATACATTGAACAGGTTGACCAGAGACTTGACTGTAAAGCTGGAAGAATTCGTTAGCAACGGTGGTCAAGACCTCGATCTGACGGAATCGACCTGAAAGAGATATAAACCAGAAAAAGATTGAGAGTGACATTTCACAAACAGCCCAGAAGGGTTGGGCAAAAATATTAAGTTGTCAAAGTTAACAGTTAAATAAACAGCATGTTGTGGCTTGTTCCCTCTTCCAAGCAAATGCTGTTTTTTTTGCTCTACTTGGTTGGTTCTATCTTGGAAAAAATGAAAATGAAAATGAAAAAAAAAACCCAAACATTTTCTTAGCGTAGCTTTCATGTTTTTCATGAAAGATTTTACTGAACAAGCAAATTTTAGTCATAAAAATATTACATATATATGTGTATATATATATATACACATGTATATATAAATAAATAAATATTACAAACTATGGCAGCACTGACCGAATCACACTATAAAGGCTTTTACATAGACAATAGGACTAACAAGTAGAAGTTCTAAAATGACACCAGATATTACCAGCTTCAAAGCTAAATTATTAAAAATAAAAACCTAAAGTATTACAATAAATGTTCAGAGATTTGGGACAACTGATATAAACATTACACGGAGGATGATATAACACCAACAAATTAACAGTGAATCATCATCAATCATCAATCAAATCACGTGTACAAATGACAAAGTTTTTATGAACCATCATTTCACACAATGACATGAAATGTCACGGTCAGTAAAGTGTGATAGGTGCTATTCAGACAGCGCACTGTGGAAAACAAACACACACACAATAAACAAGAGGAAAGTGACGACATAAAACTATAAATGTAAATTTTCACTTCACAGGTAAAACATTTTTCACAGAGCAGCAAGAAACTGAAGACCAAGAAGACAGACATTTTCTACTTAACTACAAGTTGTTCTGCAACCTTAACTGAGGTGAAACCTCCATCCTGATGAGAACAAACAAAGCCTGCCGTGTCGATGGTCGGGAGCCTTAAAATCGAGAACAAAGGATTTTCAAAAAAAACCTAAAGGCTGTTCCTTTAAGTGTAGGAACCGGCAGCGAGGAGATCAAGAAGCAGATTAGTTGAAAGTCTGAACATGTCAACATCCAGCTGCACAGAGCGCTCTCTTTTCTTCTCTGAGCTGCTCTGGGTTTCCTGGTTTGGCAGAGTTAGTCTGTCAGAGCACATTATCTAAAAAAATTTAACACTAGCTTTGCCGTTTCCTGTGTGGATTACTTCTATTATAATATAAAGAATACCAATACCTTTGAAGAACGAGCTTAAGCCAATTGGCAAAAATATTAAACATGAGTGTGTCTCAGAAGTTGGGAAGTAAGTGGGTGAGTGTATTCCAAGAACTTGATTCGTCTATTACAGTGGTTCTCCAACTTTTTATACTCAGTACCACCTGAGAAAACATTGAGCTCTCTGAGTACCACCATGATGACCAACATTAGAATATTAGCATTAGAACGTTAGCACTTGTGCTCGGTTCTGATTCATTTTAAACACGGCTGCTCACATTACTCCCCTGATCTGCAGTCTTCTTCTTTTTAATTGTTCCACTTTGAAGCCACGATTTAAGTGTTGCTGAGCCACTCATTTTGAAGTTAGCCTACATACTACGTTTATTTACCCCCTTATATTTACGTTACATTTCCCCTGCTTGTTCCACGTTCAACTTGCAAGTGATCCCATGATTCCGTGCTGCCTGTGCTTAAGTGAGAATCAGACTTGAATTGCAACAAACAGAGTAAATAAATAAAAAGAGCAGACATCACATTTCTCACAGTCTCACAAGTAGCTACACATTCTTTCTAAATGTTGTATTAATTGTGTATGGTAAGTTTCAGATTTATTCAATTGAAAATTTAAATGTGAAAATATTAATTTACAACTAGAGAGCATACCACAGTTTGAGAACCACTAGTCTAATGCAAGGTGTAGGAACAAATATTATGTAAATAGTACCTAGATACAAAACAGAGGCAAAGTTGTCTGTCATCAGCATAGATAATATTGATGATAACAGTGTGAAACTCCCTGGAAATAAAGATAGGTTGAAAGGTTGGATGCGTTAACACCCATGTTTAAGTAGATTTTTAAGAAAATCGTGAAATCTTGCAATTTGAATAGCCAGCTCTCTCAGACTTTTGTGCACCATTTTAAATAGGGATACATCATGATTAATGGAGATAAATATGTGATGGATTATTAATATGAAAAAAAAACTTTTACAAAATAATAATTCTACGTTAGCCTTAGGTCAGAGCAGCCTCACTGAGGGCAGAGTAGTTAGTATGTCTACGTTTGACCAGCTGACTTTTGACTGATTAATATTTTTTATGACAACTGCTTCACCAAAGTTTCAAAATCCATACACAAAAAAAGATTTTGTCTGCTTAATCATGATTAAACTACATCTACCCCGTGATTGATTGAAAATTAATTAAATACAGGATTCATTAATTAATCGCTCCCTAATTAATATGAGAACTTTTTTTCGGCGATACATGCAAAACAGTTCCATTAACCCTTTGTTCTGACTAACCACACACATCTGAGCCAGTCTTTCTTCTTCTATGGTTATGCAAGTCAGGCTGTCAGTCTCATTTTATACACGATGATGACTTGCATACTTTCCTTCCTTCCTCCCTCCTCCATTCCATCGCTCGCTCTCTAAATACATGTCAGCCTGTTATGAAACACAGACTTCTGTTCCCTGCTACGCCTCGTAACTTTCTCTGATATTGTACGTCAATTTAATACAGAACAGGCCTGCTCTCATGAACCTAATGATTTCAAAACCAAGAATGGCCTTAAACTCCAGACACATGTCATGGATGGCATGAATTTACATCCTTGTGAAATAAAGATGATGGAATGAAATACAGGAACCAGCTGAAGGGTTTTTACTTCCAGAATTTATACTTACAATAGGAGAGAAAGTAGGTAATTAGTTTCAGAGTTTTAAACAGTATGACATGAAAACACAAGGACAGAGTGTGAATCATACATAAAGAGCCCATGTGGATGTCAGCTACAGACGTTACAGTTAACAACAACCAGTCTCCCAGGATAAGCCAAACCTAAAACATCTTTCAAGCTGTCACAGTAAAAAAAAAACAAAAAAAAACCCTGACTCGAGCTAAGTCTGTGATCTAGGTGTATGGCTCTGTGCTTTCCAAGTCACATCCAAAGTTTCTAACTTGTTTCAAAAAAAAAAAAAAAAATATATATATATATATAAGTATTATTTTTGTATTTAGTCGGTCTGCAGATGGAGAGAGACTTTTCAGCACTGTCAATGACCAAAATGTCATATTAGATACTGTATATATCCATTTTCCCTTTACAAAAAAATATGATGAAAAATTTAAATTCAACCTGAACGATGCAGAAGAAACAAGTGCGATCCTGAACCAAAGCACTTCTCTATCATCTCTCTCCCTTTGATGATAAAGAGAACAGCAATTTGCAGAACTGAATAAATCACCACTGGACGTCATTTTGAAGTCATGGAAACCCTCAGTGGAGATTAGGTTGACCCTGGCTTTTAAATCTATTAACAGCAAGCAAGTGCTGTTTTTGCTTTTCCGTATATTTCCATTTCTTTACAAGATAAAACTGTGTTTCTGCACTTTCAGTTTATTTTGGTGACACATCCAGAACCAGCAGCTTTAAAACAAGCAAATCAAACTTACATTAAAATAAATTTAACTGCCTAATCCTAACTACCAAGTCAAAGACATGTGGATTTCCTTGATCCTCATTTGCATACGACTACAGAACAGGAACCTCTCATTACAGCAGCCATGTGTGACCATCATAATACAGTGTGAGTGTGTTTCCTGTCCACTGCTGACTCAGCAGTAGCGCTCATTCTTCTGATCTTAAACAGGAAGTGAGGAATAAAAGAAAAAGGATACACTCTCTCCCTTTCCCCTCTCTCTCTTTTTACTACTCTATTCCCCCAAGAGGCTCTTTCTGATGGTGAGAACAGGGCTTACATAACAAACAACAACACAACACCACATAAACACTAACGTGTTCTTGGACAAACACACTCGGATCCAGGGAATCTAAGAGACACTATGAGAATGTTCTGGAAAAAGAAGAACAACACTTCCAGCAACCACAAATGGCCCAGAGACTGTTAAAGGAACAGTTCACTATAAAAACATCATGTTCTGAAGGCAGGGCTGGTGAAACATTTCTCTAGAAATCTTGAATGAACATTTTTCTACCCTGCAATGAGCAACATTAAAGATTCTGGTCCAAAAAGCACACAACATTCCCTGTATTATGTTTTTACCCACAGTTATCAGGCATTTTAGATGTTTTGATCTCTGTCCTTGTTTCTCTGTTCAGTGAGGCAACAGATTGGTCCCACATTTATTTTGCAGGATGACTCAGACTACATCTATCAAAGAGCCAGACTCTCCTAAAGATCCTTTGAGACAAGACAGAGAAAAAATTCAGAGGAACCCCGAGTGCTCTTATCTCCACATTGCGGAGTATGTCGAAGGAAAAACACAAGTCGGTGGGACACATAAAAACTATGGCTTTAGTCATTAATCATGATTAATCAAGATGAATTAACATTATTTAATCACAAAAAATACCTTTTTCCTGTACAGTATATGGCCTAAACAGAACACAAATAACAGCAGGTCGATGTATGTGTTTTTTTGACCTGAGTTTATTTGAGACTCGTTCAAATAATGTAATGATATTATGGAAAATTATCACAAAAAATAATAAAAACCAAAACTACAAAATTTTGCTTCATAGAGTCGGTGGATTTATGTCATCCCTGTTCATCTTGACACTGGTTAATGGAACGCATCAAGAGTTCCTTTCCAGGCTAATGCCTAATGTACCTCACAATCTCTTTCGCAATTGTGTCAGTCAGCAAGCCACGACCTGAAGTTGAAGCCCCGACAAATAGGGATGCATGCAAGACATTGAGTATTTTAAACTTAAAAAAGTTGCTTTGGTGAAAAAAAAATAAAAAATTACCACAGTGTGTGTAGTGTGTAGAAAACAACATGTGTTATAAAAGGATGGTGGAATAACTGGAAGTACAGTGTGTGTCATTCCCCACATGAAAAGTTTAATCACATCAATTTCGCAAATTGACGTTTGTGTGACAAAGACGTTTGACCGACCAACTACAAACTGTATACAAGTCTACGGTTACTTGGTATGATTACAACAAGTAATCCCAATAAATATGGATTTTTTCCTTTTTCTACAGAATTTTAAATAAGTTGATCAGATAAGTTTGTAGACCATTCTTGTAAATGTCAATTATGAAGGAACAAAATTATTTAAAACAACAACGATAAGATCCATGGGTGTTGACAGCTTACTCCACAGTGTTTGTTCTTTTCTGTTTATTTTGGCCTATTCACAAAAATGTCAGTCAAACTTATCCAGTGGACCAAAAGACATACCGTGGAGATGGAAACATTATGCAGTTGATGACAGTTTATAAAGTTGTGTTGTTAAAGGATAGTATTACAAGTTTGTGCATGTGATGCACCAAAGCACATCAGTGCCTAAAAACAAAATTTTTCCATCCAGGATTGAGAAAAATCTATCAAATTAAATCGATCAACAAACTATGATAATTGTTGTTACTGGAAACCATACTGCAGAATAAAGGAGTTTATGGCTTATACATTTCTAATGGTAATGTCAAGTTAAAGAGCTGGGTAAAAGTGTTTATGCTTCACTATACAATCCATAATATAATATGTCAACAGTAGCCAATAGCCAGTGCAAAATAAAGTAAAAAGCATCTAATGGACCTATTTTTGTCGTCTGTCTTGTTAAAGGAAGAAAACAGACTAAGATACAAGCCAAGAAAAAAAAGGACAAGGGGAGAGTTTTCTGATAATATCAGAGAAACAAGATGACAAATACAACAAACCTAAAAATGTAAATTTATGAGCAGCTTTTCAGGGGCTTTAGGACTGTAGCTAACCTGAGCCTTCAAGAACATACACCAAAATAATACAGCAGCAGATGGATCAGGAGGACAGTCTTGATGGCAGACAAAGATGAAATGGTAAAACCATCAGTGTCTAAGCTAAACTACAAGGTGGAAGTCCCTGTCTTTTTGAAATCTATCATCTTTTCTCCAACATTTAAAATTTTAATGTAGAACGAATATGGACTCCAGAACTGAAAGCATAAAACTATAAAAACCCAGACAGGAATTTGCTGAATGCAAACTGATGAGCCACAGACTTTGAGAGCGAAATGTTCTCTGGAGTGACGAGACAAAAATGGGAGCATTCTGATAGTGTGCTATGACTTTGAACATATTGTTATTTGCTAGAAATAGACAAAACTCCCGTCACGTTCTTGAACTTCTACAGTGTTTGGTTTTAACAGCTCCAAATGTATTATAAATCAAAGTTACTTCTTGTTTGTGCTATGGACAGTGCAGTCTAAACTACCTGCAACAAATGACACTAACTACATACTCTGCAGTATTTGTTGCAGCTACTCTTGTTCCTTGCCTTGTTTTTTTTTTTTGGTTTTTTTTTTTGAGATACCCACAGAGGGATTCCAAAGATGGAGAACTCTTTCTACAGCGTGAAGACCATGATGTAAACAAGTCTGTGATGCAACGGAGAGCATTCAACCAACTCCTCATCCAGCTTGTTTAATATTTTTTCTTTACCAGACCTACATTGACATGCTACGCTCTTCTCTTTCCTCCATGTATTCAGCATTAGCGTGAATACAGTTTGTGACTCAATTATGTTATCTGCAGACTACATCAACTAGGCCGTGCTTGTAACTTAACATCTGTAAATATGTACAGTTCATAAGAGAGTAACAACATGATAAAATCTGACCTTTTAAAATAATGCTGATCTTCCAAGAATGTGAACAAAAGATTAAATTTTTTAATCTGCAGTCAGGCTACTGACAGAACAAGTTTTAGCATCAAGGAAGTTCAGTGACTCAGTGTTTTTTATGTATCAAATTTCCTGCGTGCGGCAGAGTTGAATTATCACACACCGTGCAGCCCAACATCTGTAGTTTGTGATAAGGCTGCAGTGGCATTTTCACCCATAATAGACTGCAGTTCATAATAAAACATGAATACAGCATGTAGCCGGAGACAGATGTCCTTTCACACCCCTTGGACAAACATTGACTGCATACTTATAAAAGATGTCTTTGCTTCCTCAACGCTTGAGCAAAGGTTACATAAAGAGGTCATTTATTTACATGTGATACTAATTATATCACATCACATTACATCCTGCTACAATAGTCCAAGTGACAGGTCATAAAATCTACGAGACTCAATTTGTGATTAATTTTATGTGATGCCCTTCTTGTACTTCAGTAGGATACCTTTGTTACTCTATAATATAATATTCAAACCTTGAAAACACCACAACATAGGAGCACTTTCAAGTGTCAGCAGCACTGTTTTCTATTCAGGATTCAAATATTTACAAACTAACCAAACTTGAATTTTGAGTGTTCAGTTCTCTGCCTGTTAATACATAAAAACATGAACCATCTGAGTTGAAGTTTACACCGCAACTATTCTTAGCAACAGTATAAAAACAATCAAAAGAAAAAAAAAACACAAATTCTATTAAAATCCAAATCCACTTAGCCCAACAAATTCTTTTTTTTTCTGCTACAATAAACAAGAGGACCTTAGATGTATTCAACCGTGGAGTGATTTATCCTCTTACCTACACAGGATCCTCAGTATAGTCTTTCTTTACAATGCCACAGCAGTTAAAATGTCAAGAAAAGTGATTCAGCTGTGTCTGTGTGTGTGTGTGTGTAAAATTAGCTGTCCAGTACCTTCATGCAAACATGAGTTTGAAAACAAAAAGAGGCCAGGACATTAGCACACTAGATCTGTGTGTGTCTGTGTGTGTGTGTGTGTGTGTGTGTGTGTGTGTGTGTGTGTGCGTGTGTGTGTGCATGTTCGTGTGTATGTGAGACAAACAGATCTTTGTCCTTGCTGGCAGAGTTGTCCAGGCAATAGGCAGAACAGCTAAAAAGGCTAAAGGACCACACAAAACACCATATAACACTGAGAACAGGGCAGACACACACACACGCACACACACACACAGGCATTGTGAACTTCACATCCTGTCTCCAGCGTCTGAACATGAACCTCTTGAGCTTCGACGGCATCACTAACACTGGATGTGTACATACTGAATGTATATTCAGTATATGAACACATCTAGCATATACACATACACTAGCACATAACAGAGAGCGTAGTAAACATTGTTTCTGTACATACTTGTCAAAGCGTAGTTGGGGTTCTCCAGCTCCATGCGCTGCATCTGGGCTCCCAAATAGACCTGAGACACAGGAAATTCAGATAAACCTGGTAATAGTGATACTAATAGTAATAGTAAAACGTGTCGTTTCCCAGAAAAATTCTTCTGCATCTGCAATGGTTGCTTAGTTTTTTCAGCAGACAGAAAGTTAAAAAGCTTCTTTTGCTCAAAGCCTGGTACCTTGATGTCAATTCCTCGTGCTGCAGACGAGCTGTTGAAGAACCTGGAGGGAACCTTTGAGGCCAGGTCAGGTTCTTCGCGACCAAATCCAAGATTAAATAGGATTTCTTCAGGATCCTCCTCATAAAGGTCCAGCAGCTCTGACACACTGTGGACATACAGATGCAGACAGCCACTCAAACTGACAACCATGGAGATGGAAACAGCATGGGTGAAACAAAATCCTAATTGTATTTCTTGATTGCTCCCAAACTAAATTGAACCAACGGGCACAGGTAGACTGAAAGCAAAAGAAATAGAATCGTATAACGTGACTCTGATAGGAGATAAATAGGAGCATGGAAATTCATTATTTAACAGTCAAGATGAAGAATGACCCATGTTACTTAAAGAAACAATAACCATGTGGTCCCTGGTTAAAACATTTCCATTATACTGGCGGACTGGTTCAGTGAAACACCCCAGGTTTATAACAGAACTTTGACCTAAAAGAGATCCTTGACAACACCAACCTGTGTGTAAGTACAATGACGGAGAAGAAACATCTGCACCTCGTCTAGACTTTGTGTACGTCTTACACTCATTTTGGTTTTTGTCTGACCCCTACTCTGGTGCAAAATCCTTATCAGTGCTCTAACACTACAAGAACAGTATCTCTAACAAAAACAACGTGATGAAGTAATGAATGAGTTACAGACTAATATTGCCTCAGGTTAGGAGCTGTATAACCTACATCTGTCTGTATGATTGTCAAGACATGTTCAGTGTATAGGGCAAAATATGAGTATTTTATGACCCACTGATCCAAATCAACATTTATTGTTATATGGAAATGTGAAACTGTAGCATTAAGCTAAAAAGCCCAGTCTTTTGCTTAAAAGAGGAGTTTGAATATTTGATGGTGGGCTGAAATGACTGCATTTGATGTTCTTTGGTCCAGGTTCAGCAACTCCAAATTATGTTTCAGGCCACATTTTTTAATTTCAATTAGAAATTTACAAACGGAGCTTTGGTCCCAGAGCCTGCATCAAATTGTTTGAATCAATTAAAAAGGTTACCTGTGTTTGTATTAAGCACTGCCAAAATAGAACATGTCCTTGCATGTTGCTACTGCATTATATCACTGGTATGTGAACAGATATTACAGCAATGAGTCACTGCATCTGATCATTTCTATCACTTGTAACACTAAATGTTGAACACTTAAAATGTCATCTGTGTTCAAAAAGAACCCCAAATTACTTTGACTGTTCCATTAGAACAAAAAAACACTTACCTGGACACTGTGCTGCTCTTCCCAGACCCCGTAGAGTTCATACTTCTTCCTCTCTCCTTAAATTGACTCCTCTTGTCCTCCGCCGCAAGACCAAAACTGCATTTAATACACAACAAACACTAAATCTGAGTTGTTTGGGAGTTTATTTAATGACAGCAAAGACTCTGGTCTTGTAAGAATCTACGACTTAAGAATTACTTCATTTTAGTCAGTTGTCCAGTCATCTGATCATGACTTATAACTAGGAAAAGGAACTCACCAGGGATCAGGTTTCTTGACAGTGGACTGTAGATGGTTGGCTGCAGAGGAAAACACAAAACAGCCAAAATTGTATAATGATACAATAATTACACAATGTAATGTGTAATTAAAAAGAACTGAGAACAATTCCAACATTGTGTTTAGTTCCTGTAATGAAAGGCACACATCGACGAAACAGAAATGACATCTAAGGCTAAGGAGTACAAATAGATAGATAGATAGATAGATAGATCAGTATAACTTGTGGCTGTCAGGTAACATATATTCACAACAGTGAAGCCTCCACATGGTATGGACACTGACATAAGTCCCCAGGATTGAGATTTTAACAGGTCTTATGTTTATGATCCCTCTTCACAGACGGATGATGAAAAAAAAAAGCCTGTTAATATTACCTGTAAATTGTTTATATATTTTAAAACTAAAACTACTTTAAATTGTACTTTTTATTTGTACTGCAAAGTCCAAAGCTGAAATGCTAAACTGATCATCAGTTTTCGACGTGAGAAATGTTTGCTTTACAGGTTAAGAAGAACACGTTTGAACCTGTCGACCTGTCATTAAAGGCCTGACTGAGCCTCTAATTTCAATTTAATTTCTTCCTTCTTTGAGTCCACAGCTATTTCCTCTGATGGATGGCTGGATTACAGGAACCAAGGGTTACAATGACTTACTTCTGTGCACTAATTCACTGGTACACTTCCTTCCTTTTCACCCCGACTCGTTCTCATTTCACTAATTCGCCTCCGTCTCATCCCCACATTAACCTTTTAATCTCCTTCTATTCTGTCCTGATAATGTTCCACACCATTACAGGCCATCAGGAAATGTTAAACATTACATTTCCAAAGATGACAAAAGACAGCTGTCAGACACGACTCACGACAAGATTAAGGCCTGAGTGAGGACGACAGAGAGTCTGACACTGGTGGTAGACTGCGGCGCTGCACAAAAGAAGCTCTTATATCTAATGTCTAATTATTGAGTTTTTAGCCTCAAGATATTAATCATTTGACGTAACCAACTTCAACATACATGCAGCTGGATTCACAAGCATCAGTGGTCATTTAAAGTAATTTACAGTTACTTCAATCCATTAGCCATGGATTTCCATAAGCCAATACATTAAAATGGTTTACTATTTAATTTATATATCAAGTTATTCGAACTTTATAATAATATAATACAATAAAACACTGTGCATCAAAAAAAATCACTATTTTTTTTTTTGAAAAAACACTATCAGATTTTAAACTAACCTTAAGATTTGGCAGTGAACATGATGACATAGCTGATGCAGACACATATTAATAGTCATAATGATAACAGCAGTGGCACACTTTTTCCAAAATAAAACCGACTTCAACAAACAAATTACTTCACATTTTTTATTTATATGACTTTGAATTTACCTAGATTTAAATGGGAAACAGCACAGTGGCTCCTGTCATTACCATACTTTCAAAATACTGACCATGTCGCTCGACACACTCCACATACATATTTAAAGAAATGTAGCCAACGCACCCTCTATATCTTTTTTTCTCACCCTGTCTCTCTTGTGTGTGCATGATACATGGGTATCATAAATACCTTTTATAGCGTCATAGCGACAGAAAAAGACAAAAAACAGCAGAGGTGAGTGAACAGCATGTGTGTTTGAGTGTGTGTGGCGGGGGAAGGAGGGAGTAGTGACCTCTTGCAGATAATACAGAAAGCTGTTCTCACTACAAGAGGTACTGCTGTATTGTACAGCCTGCTGTTTAAAGACTACTGTCCTCCACCTACTCTACCTTGTCTGAGTAAAGTTGTGCCAAAAACCCTTTCTTCTCTTTCCTAGTTCCTAGCTTCGACCACTAACAGCTGACTGCTTTTTTTCATAAAGTCAAACTGTACGTAGCGAAATGTTATTTTCTGCCCTGAACTTTTGCAAACCATGAATGAGTCAGCTTCTTTTGGGTTGCACAAAAACATCGTGACACGACACAACATTTACTGGTGTCATCACATAACAATGTACTTACTGTAGGAGTGGGTGATTCTTTTCTGATAAAATCAGCTGCACAAACATCTTTAACCACTGAGCGTCAATTCATTAGCACCCATTCACTGCTTGATTCCTGCAGCTGTGACTTGGAGCATGTTGGTTTTTGGCAACAAAAAGTCATTAGTGCCTATTGTGCACACACTAACAAATGCCGCCTTATGCTATCAAATACATTACTACAGTATTCACATCAGATCAGGGAAATGACTGGAAGACACGTTAAAACGCTGTAAAGACAGCTGACCATGCATGCATTTTTCCACACCTCTGTAAGTGTTGACTTTCCTTCATGAGAGGACGTGGAGGAATGATGATGGAACAAAGAGCCACACAATGTCTTGTTATTACTACTGACACTGTTATGATTGTCAGCCATCACAAAATGCATTTAGGGTTAAAGACGTTTCACGGTAGATGAGCTTGGGAGCCACCACTAAAGTTGAGGGTGTGACTCTGCTAACTTTAAAGATGTTTTTTATGCCAACTTGGCTCAAGTAAAGCAAAAGACAGCTGTTACTTTTGCTACCTCTATCATGAATCCATTTTAAATCCTAAAAACAACAGCAAAGTTAAATCTCAGAATTGAACACAAACAACATGAAAAATTAACAGACTTCTGCATATATTCTCTATATTATTATTATTAACAGCTCATTTGGGAGTAGACAGACACTACTGAGATCCAAATATGTGTAACAAAACTAGGACATAATAAATTTCACCAAATATACAGAACTAAAGTAAAACTTTTAACAACCACTGCCAACCGTTTGAAAACAGGAACAGCTTTACAGAAAAAAGTATTAGTTCACGGAATTTAAACTACCCAAACCGCACCAGATATGCCAGGCTGATCTCTATCGATCACATCAACAACATTGTGTTTTATCCAGTGCACACTTTGTTCATTCCTGAGCTCCAACTTGCTGCTGTTTAAACCCCCATCTCATGTCTTTAAATCCATGACCCCCCCTACATGGTGAGGATTTTATTGTCACCATCACCCCTGTGCTGTGCTGAGTTTGGTATTTCCATGTGAGGAGCGATGTGCTCAGAGCCAACACATACACGCCGACTGGTGTGAAGTCTTCGAGGCATGTTTTTTTCCTGCTTGTTCTTCAGTCTGTTTAAACATTTTAGGCATTGGCAAACACTAGTATCACACAGGCATCTGATCATTCCCAAAATAAATTGCATGCTGTCTTAAAACATGTGGCAGACAAGAGGAACAAGTAGTCATTTGATATTAACAAGGAAAACCTTATTTAGCGGGACTTAACATTCTAATGGTGAAAATGGTTTACATGGCTATTTATATGAAAGATATTTTTCTTGTTGCTGTTTAACTCCATATTATATCATTTAATTGCTCTATAGAGTTATATACACCTTACTTTCACTCTATAATATACTTTAATTCAGACTCATTTTTAGCTTACTAACTACTGACTGTTCAATGTCATTTCTGTCTAATAAGGAAGCTATGAGTCTGAGCCTGACTGACAACTTTACAACAACACAAATAAAACTTTGGCCCAGCCGTTCCATGTGTTTCTGAGAGTCTAATTCTTTTTTCTTTCCTAATGTGGCTTCGTGAAGTCTTTAGTTAATAATTCTACTATCAACATATGGCTGAGTCAGGGATTTCTTGTGCAATAATTTGGCGTGTGGGTGCGGCCCAACCATAGTCAGCCTTTTCATTTCACTGAGTAAAACCAACACTTAAGGCTTGAGAAAAGTGCCAAAATGTCCCTTAGCTGGCTAAGCAAGTAAAAATAGTAAGGGGAAACTCTTAACAATAATGAGAAATTGCTGATGCCATTTGCATTGTGAGTTTTTTTTTTCTCTACACTAACCTTCAGCTCCCAGTGAAAGGTCATCTTCAAAGCTGCAGCCGTTCCGCAGTGCTCCTGTTCACACAACAAACAGTCACAGTGCAGACAGTGGTGATATGATCTCTAATATGTCCATAATGTTATGAAGTGGAAAAATAAAAGATTTGACTGTAACAGTTCTGGAACACACAGCACATTCAAAGCTTCAGTCACTGTTTGCAAGCATGCGGCCGTATGTGTCCTAACAGGCGGGCTTCTTCACAGTGTCAACAAACACAAAGAAAATGTTGATTACCTCTGCTGGGAGAAGCACTCTGGTCATCCAAAGAGGCTCCAATGGGAGTCCTGCACAACAGACATAAGGGGGAGTAGAGTAATGCATTAGTTATACATCAACCCAAACCATAAACTGATATTTTCAAACACAAAGTAGCAACAGAACACTCTGTCATTTAAAGGCAGGCTCTCACTAGCACACATCTATAGTACGCTGCAACACCACAAGGAATCCTAGTCTTGTCTTGAATTTCCCCAAAGTCAAAAGAACAAATCTTTAACATATTTTTATGTACAAATATTCCATTATTTTATCACCCTCATTATCTGTGAATATTGTGTATTATATTTAGCACTTGAATACAGGGACTTGTGATTAGCCTAGGCATGCTAAACCACAGTAAACCACAACAAAGACAGGAACGCACATCCTTGTCATACCTACAGTTATACGTCAAGCGTTCTTACGCACACAAGTCTCCCATACTTCCAATATACCAACACAAGCAAATGATTGAAACATGAAGGAGAAATCAAAGACAGTTGGGCTAAAAAAGAAAACAAACACATGTCAACTAATAACAAGTTTCCATGGCTTACTGTCAAATATGTTTTGCACCTTTGTTTGTTCAAATTGCCTATGGCCTACTCTTAAAAACGTGGTAATTGTATGGTAGGCAGAGTCTACCGTGGATAATCAACATTTGTAATTCAGGCTAGCTGTATGTTAAATATGCCTATAAAAATAATAAACCATGCTGTCTTGATTCGTAGTCAGGCTGGGCTATTTATGACCATCAAAAATATTTAGACGGGATTAAATCTGAAAGCTAAGGAGGTTCTTAGTTCTTAGTTCTACCTACACTAGAGGTTGGACTAAAGAGAACTGCAGCCTGAACTTGAACAGCAGTCAACTGTGGCGTTACACAACCTTCTCTTCTTATCATTGGGACAAACCTCATGCCACCATTCGGGACACAGACACACACACACAAGAATGAACGGTTGTGTAACCATACGCAGCTGCAGTGCTCAATATTCCTCCCACTTTCCACTGGTAGCCATGCTGGCCGTCGTCCTTGGCCCCGTGGCTGTTACTATAGTACAGAAGGATTCTGATTCTGCTGGTCATGTTACCACAGTGATGTCGTAGGAGATGCATCAGCGCAGGACTGCTCCCAAATATGTGTGTGTGTGTGTGTGTGTGTGTGTGTGTGTGGCATCAGTGTTGACTCAGCACTAGGAGCCCCTCCTCTGTTTACCCTTCTTTCTTTGTCAACTTTTCATCAGTTTTGTCCTTTTTTTAAACGTATCCGTACTTCTAAGTCTCCTACCTCTAGGTGTGGCACACTTTCTGTGTGTGTGTGTGTGTGTGGCATCAGTTTTGACTCAGCACTAGGAGCCCCTCCTCTGTTTACCCTTCTTTCTTTGTCAACTTTTCATCCGTTTTGTCCTTTTTTTAAACGTATCTGTACTTCTAAGTCTCCTACCTCTAGGTGTGGCACACTTTCTGTGTGTGTGGTTGTGTGTGTGTGTGTGTTTTTGCTTTGTAAGTTGTATGTCAAGGCGTTGGCTGTGTGTTAGTTCTACGTCAGCAGCCGACAACACCGCTACTAAGTACACACACACACACACACCTATGGACGTCAGGAGAAATATATCAATAAAACAGTTAGCGTCTAAACCAGTTAGCCAGTGTGTCAGTCAGTCAGTCAACACACAAAGTTCTCTTTCTATTCCATAAACTACTCCGTTTGTTTAAATGACATTTCTACTGATTACTGTGTCAGTGGTCAAGAAAATCATTTGGGAGGAACTGAAAATAAATTACTAAAAATAGCCAAAGGTAGTAACAGTAGAAGTGAATACAAAACATGGCCATAATCCTTTAATCAGGTGGTGGATAAACACTGTACCTGCATTCAATCAGCCAGCTGGTGATCTTGTTAGGAACTTGCCCTGACAGAGAGACAGACAGAGAGACAGAGAGAGAGAGAGAGAGAAAGGTCAGTGGGGTAGGGAGTCAGAGAGGGAGTCAGAAAAAGAGACAGAAATAAAGAGAGACAGAGAGAGAGAGAAGAGAGACAGAGAGAGAGAGAGCGAGAGAGAGAGAGAGAGAGAGACAAAGAGATGCGTTTTTGTTGTATGGATAAGACCCATGTTGTTGCCAACCAACAGTAAGTACTTCCACATCTGGTTGTCATTTCTTAAGGAATCAGCTGCTGTCAATCAAGACGTGTCAGCACAAGTATTTTTTAATGCTGCATTTTATTTGAATTTGATTTATATTGAAAAACGTCAGTTGTTCAAGATTTTATCATAATTTTAAAAAAGAATTATACTGAGTTGAAAAAAAAGTATCATTTTTTTTATCAATTACTATTCATTTTAGGCATTTCACATGGGGTTGAAAAACACTGCTTTGTGGAATAAACTAAGTTACAGCAATACAGTGGCCCTAGGTGAAGAGCCATTCATGCACATTGACACACACACATTGATGGATTCATCTGTGATCAGAATACTCTAATCCTAGTTTTCTTTCTTAGACAATGAAGGCATCACTGGCTTTACTTTACTACCCCACAGTAGTTACTTTGACCTAGTATATTAGTTTGACAGTCTGTTTTCAACTACAAGAAACCTTTCTCTTTGCATCACAACCATTTGAAAGATGTGGCTGATATGGACTAGTTCTGGTTTTCCCTAATTTATTCTTTATCTGTGCCATTATTTGTCATACTCTGAAATGTGGACAATAGTATGTCTGTGGCCCAAAGCAACAAGGCCTACAGGTAGTAACTGAAACAAGAAACCAGTTTAACATCACAAGACAGTTTCTCCATCACCAATCCAGATCAAGAGTTTGAGTTTTCAAGAATTTTTTTTTCTCTCAGCCAAAAGGCTTCTTCAAGGCTAACTGGAGAACTCCAAGTATTTTGCCTGTAGGAGTGAATAACCCACTAGAAACTGGAGATAAAACCTAAAAAAGAAGCCACCCCGCCCCCATGTGAGGGCTAAATTAACATTTGTACTGTAATTTGAGGTGGGAATACACAAAAAACTCAATTCAAGTACACCCACAACTATACAACTTACGATATCATGACCCAATTAACCTAGAAATTCTGAACTTGCCATGACAATTCTGTACTTGCCATGACTGAACCTCTATTCTGTTATTCGATCTATTTCTTGTTACTTATTAGCCAAGTTATGATGATAGTGAAACTACAGTAAAAGTATAAAGCCGTCTGACGCTGGCACATTTCAATAAAATGATTAAAAATAAAAAAGGGAGAGATGAGAAGGAAAAGCCCACTCTTACCTGGTTCTTCGGAGGGTTTCTGTGCATCCCCGTCTCCCTGTTTTGGACCCTGGGGCCCACCTTGCTCCTGATCTGATTCGTGCCAGGTGGAATCTTTGCTATGGGCCCAGGCTCTACGACGTAGCGATGCTTTACTGCAGTTTGACTGTACTTGGGAATCTAAGAATTAATTAAGCAAATAATTTGCCTTTCAGTCTGCCTTCTGTAAAGTAAGTCAGGTTTGACAAGTATTATTCAACCTGACAAACAGAAAGTTCTAGTCTTTCAAAAACAAACAGCAGCTAAGTCAAGCTGAGAGAACAGATGCGTCACTTCTCCACATGCACTAAAAAATATCCTAGGCCAAGGGTATAGTCATCTGATCAAATGATTTATGTAATGACTAAGGGTCAATAAAGTGTGACAGTAGTCAATAAAGAGAAAAGGATGTAGATTTTTGGCTGCAAAACAAAGCCCTGCTATAAAACCTTAATATCCCTGATATTATTTTGGCTATATAAAACCTTAACTCCAACTGGACATTCAAACTAAATCTATCAATGTGTCTCTTTATCGTGAGTTTTACACAAAATGGATAAAGAAAGAAAATGTTTTGTTATTACAGCCATTAGTCAACCTACCTGGGTCAGCAGTTTTTCCAAGTTCCACAGCTCCACTCTCCATATTCTGTCACCGCTTCAGATTCAGTCAGTCAGAGTAGACCGACGTTTGTAAAGTTAGCATCAGCATCAGAGTTACAAACCTGGAGAAAGAAAAAAAAGATTCACACATTTTTAATATGTGACACCTGTGGCACTGTAGCAAAATGTCACACTGTGCTAAGGTGGAGTCAATTCAAGTTGACATCAGGCAAGAAGTAGATTACGCAATAAGAACATCACTAATCAATCACAGGACCATTTTGTATACTGTGAGGAGGAAACAGTTATACAGCAGAAAATGCACAAAGAAAAGATATTCAAACTGCACCTATAGAAGCGTTCTAAGACTCAGACAACACCAAATCAAAGCTAATGAGATCCCATAACTACCTACTGTGTAAATATGCGAACTCTTACCGACAGCTATTCATAACATGTTAACAAATTCTTTCCTTTGTCAACAAATGACAAAAACAGAAAGCAGTTATCAAACGTTTCCATATATAATTTATTAAATTATGAAACAATATAGAAAGCTTCCAGATGACTTTGTGCTTGGTTTTTAATTTAATTACTTCTTATGGAGACAAAGGAGGTGGATTAGGAAGAAACTAGAGCACATGTGACAGATTCTCCACACACAGTGCAGTGTGGCTGTGAGGAAGAAGAAGAAAAAAGCATGAAGAGATAAAGAGACAAAATGCGAGGGCCACGTTGTACAGCTAAATGGAAATGGGAACGTGTGAAACAGGAAATATGTTTTTAGAATGAAGAATACAACAACTTCCTGTTCAGAAGAGACATGGGAGTCAGGAGAGGGGCAAGTCTATTTTTAGGTTACTGTTGAAAATGCAAAACAAACTGGTCTGTCAGAAAGCATCCTAACACAAACAAATAAATAAAAAATTTTCTGAGATACTGGAAGAACATTCTATTAAGAATATCATAAAATTTAAAATGTTTGGCATCAACTTATTTAGGTTAGTCTTCCAGTGACGAAATATGTGTAAAGATAATGATTATATCTGTCTATCGTGATGATTCAATTAAAACTTTCTCTGGACAGACCACTTGATTTGGGTAATTGAGTAATTGGGGTTCTTTGTAAAGTAAAACAAAGCACAGTAGACGATGAAATACATTTACTGCATGTCCTAATGAAGAGAAAAACACACCCTTCTGCAGTGTTCATTTGTAGGCTAATCCAGTGTTTCATCAAGAAAAGACAGAGAACTGTGTTCTGTTGTCTGTCTTTAGCTTTCAGTGTGGATGGACTGCCTGTGAGAGACAATGACCCACTGACTCTGTGTTAATCTGCCAACTCCGACAGAAACCAGACTCACGGATCTATGAATAAAATCAGACAGTTACAGTTTCCTACATCCTGAGCACAGAAAACACTTGAGCTGCTACGACACCTGAAACTTAATGTCTCCAAAGGGGATGACGACTAACACAGTGTGAACAACAGCAAGAAACTGGGACGTGGAGACGGTTTACATCACTGTTACATCACTGTTTCAAAGAAGAAGATTAAAAACAGACCAACTAAAAAAATCCAATGTTTTTTTTTTTTTTAATTCTTTAAATTCCTTTTTTGGATATTGGTCATCACAAGAGAATTTACATAAAACAAAGACGTACTTTAGGCCATTTTAATAAAAAAAAGAATTATGATTACACACACACATACATGCATATGGTTGAATTCTTACAGACATCAGTCTAATGCATTATTTTAATAATTTTAAGTTAATTTGACATTTGTTTTATAATGTCAACACAGTACTTTAGGATATGAACATGTGAAATTATCTTAATCATTGTCTGCGTGCTTATATCAGCTTTTATAGCAAATTTAGGTCGACACAAAAGATGCTGGCATATAAATGTCTCATATCTCATTAAATGTTATAACCAGCTTTACATTGTCAATGTTACTGCATGGTGGTTTACTGTTGTAAAGTGCTGATCTCATGACAACTATTACAGATATCATAGTATGTTAGTTTATCAGTAACACCTGTGCTCTTCCTGCTAATTCTTGTCAAAATATAGTTTAACAATGTTCTTAAGTGTCTCTTTCTTTACCCAAGCTTTACTCTAACACAAACATTGCACAAATGTTTTGTGCTTAACATAATCCAAGAAGTACATGTATGGAATTTAGCAAAATAACTAAGCACACAGCCTCCTATCCCTGCAGGTGTTGCTGTAAATACAGTCCAAATGCTCTGACCTATTAGCAGTGTGTATCAATACATGATTAACGTAAGGTTTAGAGAACAGGCACAAGTCTTACGCAGTAAAAAATTCCCCTCACACTCAATTCGTTTTTTTTATTATTGTATTTGGACTTTTAACACTTTTAAAATGTGTTAAGTGATATGAAAATATGTTAGAGATGTCAATTACAAACTTGAGTCTCCTCCTTGAAGGTAATACAGTACCAACCTGTACCTGTACCAACAATGTCATTTTTTGCCAGCAAAAAGGCTAACTTTTACTAGAAAAAGGTTTTCACAAGATTTCAGTATACCAACAAATTGCCATAATGTCGGTCAATACTTGAATTTAATTTCAAAACCAACATGCACATATGTTGTTCTGACTGGCAGCATGCAGTTGAGTTAACTTTGAGTGACATTTAGTCAAACAGATAACAACTCTGTATTTCCACTTGTTAATAGTAAATATTCTCCTTTGTAGAAGTACAACCAAATATTCAGGAACAATAAACAGTTCCATAGTCGTGTGATTAAAGTAGACATGACAAATCAACTTATCCATTAAAAAAACTCTAAATTACAATACAACTATGGATATAATTGTATGTACCTTATGTATGATGATATGCCAAAAGTCTACAGGTGTAAACTGGTGTCCGTATTTGTATCTATGATCATTGTGGGTGTGCTGAGCAGTGTACTATTTTTTTTCTACAGGTATATTAAAAAGGTAAGTTGCAAATGTGACCAGAATAATTTGCCTATTACGAAACTAATTTGTAGCCTTGGAAGCTAAGCACGAATGTCCATGGAACCAACATGAACATACTGGCTGGGTTCAATGTAGGACTGTGCCTTAAATGTGACATTTATATTAAAACTGTATATGTTCCTTTTCCTTTCAAAAATAATTTTACATTGTCGCTTTTACTAATTTTGGCCATTACTTATAAATGCGAAATCTCAACTCTCATCGACACAACCACTTTACTAATGTCATATTTAAATATGATGCTTAAACATTATTTGTGATATTGAAGACCTCTAGACAGTTTTGTTTTACTTTTTTGATCAAAGTGACACAATAACTTTCTATTTTTTCTCAACTAATACTTTCTTGTTGATCCTGTTTAGTTGTTCCTGTTCTGTTTGTCACGCAGAACATCAGCCCTGACGTTTGACAGCCCACAGTCGTAGTTTTACAAATCCAGCAACCACAACTACTCGTGACATTCTTTAACTGCTACAGTAGCGGCGGCAGTGACTTTTTTGTGTCAGTCGTCAGCGACACTTACCTTCATGTCTCTCCGCAGTTGTATGTTGATCCACACGAAAATTATCAAAAGTGTACAAACTTTTTCTTTAAAAAAAACCCCAACATCCCTGCTTCCGCTTCCTGAAACCAGCGGCGGCAGCTCCAACAGAAGAAGCAGCAACAACAGCAGCATCAGCGTGGAAGTAGAGGAAAGGAGGCGTGGTGGGGGTGTGGCCTCTGCAATTCACAGTGGAAGCATAGCGACATCTTTCGGGATGAAACTAAAACTACAGCACAACGCATTGGGCTTAATATAAATCAGCTGTTTTAGTTCGTAGACCGTAGGATCACTCATACTGCACTGACTATTTTACAAGTTACTCGTCAAAATTTTACTAATTTTGAAATATTAGTATTAATCTACTTGATGATTGTTAGAAATCGTATTTATAAAATTGACTCTTTCATCTTTGTATTATTTCCTCGTTAGTATAGTGGTAAGTATCCCCGCCTGTCACGCGGGAGACCGGGGTTCGATTCCCCGACGGGGAGCAAAGTACTTTTCTTTCTTTCTCTCATTTTTTTCCATGTTTTTATTGACTTGTTTGGTATATACAGCAAATGAAATTATAGCTTCATCAAGGTTGAAGGTGAAGTCCCGTTCACGTTATCAGTTGCTGTGAACAAAGAATTGTACAGATTGTACTAAAATATAGGAGATTAAATTAGTTATAAACAGTTACATTAAAAACAGGTATTAAAACTTAACTCAGAAAAGTTATATGATAAGATGTCTTTGGCAAATGGGAAAAAAAAGAAAAGAAAAGGACAGTTGCATTGGCCGGGAATCGAACCCGGGCCTCCCGCGTGGCAGGCGAGAATTCTACCACTGAACCACCAATGCTTGAGATCAAAGCTTTTACAAAATGTTTATAATTTAGCCAGAAGTAGTGTTAAATCAATGTATATTTTAAATTATAATGTGCACGCTGTTTCCCTCGAAGTTGAGGACATCACTGAGGTCATTCATTTTGTTAGGCAGATGTTCCAAATTGACTATGGATATAAATTTGGGTTTGAATGGTTGTTTAATTGACTGTTAAGTCGTTCTTGATATACATAAGCTCAATCCAATGGCAAATTCACTAAAACACATAAAAGAAAAGAAATTCAGTTTTACAAATGCACTTCTCTTACTTTCTAATACAAAACCATCGTGTATTATATTATCTTTAATTTTATGCGCCGCTTCATCTGAAATTGAGTTTTAAAAATTTGAATTTAAAAAAAAATGGAATCAAGTTTGTAGTATTTCGACGTTTGCGTACTCCTGGCCATAAGTCTCAATGGATTTTATTTATTAACCATATCTAAGATATGCGTGCTGTACATTCAATTAACCACTAGGTGGAAACCAAACACAAACATTGTGTGTTTCAACGTATGCATACATCGTCAACCAAATTGCAAATTTTTTATTCTGAAGTTAGTTAGTTAGTTAGTTGTTCTATATTGATTTATCTTATATTCTAAAAAAATGTGAATTTAGGTTTCAGTGGATGCACTTTATACTGAATGAATAGGGTAATTTGACCGTCAATTCAGATGTGCGCACGCACGTACACCGATAGAGGGAGATTTAGAAGAAATGTTGTAAAATACAATGATAATATTGATTCAAAATCGATTATGTCTCGTTTTTTCTTTTCCTTTTGTGCTTCCTTCTTTGAATACCATTTCTTTGTAATGACGTAGAAACTGATCCTAGGACTACGAAAGGAACGTCTGTCCATAAAATTAATTTTCAAACAACCTGTTATCAGCATTGTCTTGTTTTGTTCTTTTTCCAGCTTATTTTAATATATATTAGAGCTGACGTGTGAATCATAGATAAGTAAAAGTAGGCTAGGTAAAATACAATAATATGGAAACGTGGATGGATATATTTTGTTAACCATTAGCTGTAAAATGGTCCACACTGACAGACAGGCACACTGATCTGGTGTTGCCCAGTAACCTCTTAATGACCACTGTGTGGTCACCATAGTAATCTCTCGACTGGAGGACAATTTGGTTCAAAGTCCACAGATTCTTTCCTGTACATCAGGGTGTTAACCCAGCTGTGATGTACACAGAACCAAAAAGTGGTGGAGGAGCCTCATAACTTAAATGTATCTTAATAGCATCCCAAGAGCAGCATACATTTTAACATCACTTGAGTTGCTCTACTCATGTATCCCTTAAGTGTTGATGGTTGGTGATTTGACATGATAGATGTGAGAACACCAAATCAGGAAACTGTTAAACTCAAGGTAAAAAACAATTGTTAGTCTGTTCCCTCAAGGCTTTACACAGTTTCCACGACTCCAAGACCACTTTGAGGTGAACCTCGTGGATACGTGTGTGTAAGTAAAAAGGCAACTAAGTCTTTCAATTGGTTATAACATCGGTCTGCAACCATTAACGTCAAAAGAGACATTTTTCTCTGTGAGTTATTTGCACCTGCAAGACTTGTTACAGGATTGGTATTTTATGAAAAATCAAGTTCGTTCATTTTAAGATGGATACCTTTAAAATTTTAGAAATTTTAAAGTTTCATCTTAAACAGCAGAACACAGACAAATACACAAGAGCAAAGTGTTGATAGCAAAAGAACGTTAGAAGACAACCAGATATAGAGAGAGAAAGAGAGAGAGAGAGACTCACATTAATGGAACATTTGTCACGTGACCCCCGGGGCCGTTTTAATGACGTACCCACCATATGGCGCGTGCCGGGAGGGCGGGACACCGATATGCTAATTGCAATCCTCGGTGTGTCTTTGTGTGAGTGTGTATGTGTGTGTGTGTACGTATGGTGAGTATAAAAGCAGCATCCTCCCGTACACACCCCTCAGAACAGCGCAGAACAGGTCACGCGCAATCACGCACGGACACGCACCTCGAGAACACGGGATGAGTGCGATCTGACGGACATCAGCACAAACAAAATACAACAGGTAAGAATTTTAAAACTGAATATAATTAAATGAATTATATTCCACAATCATTTAAGTTTGATTGATTTATCAGGTCTGGACCTAGTCGATCCTTCCAAGGATTTATAACAAATTACAGTTTTATGGATTCATAAAAATGCCTGCTTCAAAATGAAACCAAAATATGAATTAATTAAATAATATATTTTAAAAATAACTGTTGACCTTTTAAAATTATTTAGTATAGTTTTGTGTTGTTTTTGTCTGCTACATTTATATTACATTTTAATGTATCTAATCTAAGCTTTAAATTATGTTATGGTTAATATTATATTGTTAATATTATTGTCCTTTTATTTTTATTTATTTGTGTTAGTTCTGTGTGTGTAAACCTGTCTCAAACGAAGAAAGATTGACACGGGATTTGAACTAGTTTTTTTTTTTTTACTTACATACTAGTTTATATATTTATAGTTTGGGTATATCAATACTACATAACTCATTTAATCCTGAATAAATTAATTAAATAATTATGGCGTGGTACTAATGTATATATTATTTTTATATATTAATTTACAAAAGGAAGTGCGCCTGTTTATGGAGACCTATGCGACATTGGTACAAGAACTAGTTTCATATTTTATTAGTCTAATAAAATAATTAGATTATACTAACCTAAAACATGTTTATGTTCTTTGTTTTTCCATGTGGCGCATCATATTTTATAGATACGTTAATGATAAAAATATTCATAATATTATTTTGTTAAAAGACTTTATGATGCAGCGCCGCGTAATTCTTTTCCTCGTATCTATAACCAGTTGTTGAAACAGCAATGTTTAATTTCTAAAGTGAGCGTGTCTGTGCCCTCAAAGTCGAATCGTTTAAAATAAACATATTTCCTTATTTACTCACATATTTCTAAAAGGATTTAGAGGAATCAAGAACGTTTAAAAGTGAATGAATTGTGAAAAGAATCAAAACATTTACTTAAAACAAGTACAGCTTGAACTGAGAGAAACACTGACGTGTTTTGAGAAAAGATGACGGATTTGTATTTGTTTGTTTTTTTTTATTTTACAGCAACTCTATAAAATTAAGCGCTAACTCTCCATAAACTTTGATAAAGAGTTAATGGTTTTGAAGGGGAATTACTTGTTCCTTATAATGTGGACACGCAATCAAAATTAAAATAACAGCTAATAATAAAACAGAATGAAAGCTCTCTTTGAAAATGCATTAATTAATTTAAAAAAAGAAAAGAAAAAGAGGAAAAAAGTTATCTGAAGGACACACCTCCTCTATTTTACAGTGAATCGGTATCATGACCAGGTCAGTGCGGGAGGAGCAGTGCTCAGTGGAATTAGAGGAGCAGCAGGAGCTCTGCAGCCCTGCAGGGGGAGAACCTCAGGCTGCAGGAGAGGAAGAGGACAATCAACTCCATCTGGAGGAGGATGATGGCGAGGAGGATGATGGCGAGGAGGATGAAGATGAGGAGGAGGAGGAGGAGGAGGAGGAAGAAGACGGTGAGAACAAACCCAAGAGGCGAGGGCCAAAGAAAAAGAAGATGACAAAGGCTCGGATGCAAAGGTGATTTTTTTTTTTGCGGCATTTTTGATATATTGATATATATTGAATAATAACAATACAATATTTGAAAAATAAAATGTTTGTGAAGAGCAGGACTACAGTGGATATTGTAGTACTACACTTAAAAGTTACAAGCTATTGTGCTAGCTTCTACTAGTTGCAAATTTGCCTTCTATGAGTTTTTTAAATTTATTTATTTAACACTATGTGATTATATAACACTGAGCTAATGATAAATGTAAATTGTGTTTCCACAGGTTTAAAATCCGCCGGATGAAAGCAAATGCCAGGGAAAGAAACCGCATGCATGGGCTGAATGACGCTCTCGAAAGTCTGCGCAAAGTTGTCCCCTGTTACTCTAAGACCCAAAAACTTTCAAAGATTGAAACGCTCCGCCTTGCCAAGAACTACATATGGGCCCTAAGTGAGATTCTGCGTTCTGGCAAGGCACCCGACCTCATGAGTTTTGTGCAGGCCCTCTGCAAAGGTCAGCATCCAATAAATGTAGTCAAATAAAAGTATTATTATGGCACATAGACCAGAAGTGGTGGCAAACGATAAACTCAAAATGTTACAACAGCACTGTTTATGTGGCTAATCTTTGGACTTTTTTTCTGCTTTGCAGGGCTTTCTCAGCCAACCACTAACCTGGTAGCCGGCTGCCTGCAGCTAAACCCCCGAACATTCCTGCCAGAGCAGACGCCTGATATTCCGGCTCATCTTAACCCAGCTGGAGCTGCTGCCTATCCTGGACACTTCTCTTACCAGAGTCCTGGACTGACAGCCGGCCTGCCGAGCCCACCCTACGGCACCATGGACCCCTCACATATCTTTCACCAGGTTAAGGGCCAGCCCTATGGGCCCATGGAGCCTTTTTTTGATGGGGTCCTTGTTTCTGAAGGCCCTGCGTTCGATGCACCCCTCAGTCCTCCACTTAGCATCAACGGAAACTTTTCCTCGTCCTTTAAGCATGAGGTTGTCACAGCTGCCGATTATGACAAGAGTTTCGCATTCAGCGTGCACTATGGGGGAGGAGGAGGAGCTCCGGGACACACAACTATGTATGGTGGTGGTGGGACCAACCAGCGGTGTGGTGACCTGCAGATGGATGGGATGATGGGCTTTGAGGGACAATCGCACCATGAGCGGCTGATGAACGCTCAGTTGAACGCCATCTTCCATGACTCCTGAAATAGAGGAGAATAAAGGACTAAGAGACGGATGTGGACAAAGATGAACAGACAGAACATTATATATCTTTCCTTTATTTTTTCTGTCTGCATCTGATCTACAACTTTTTGGTCATAAGCATGGTGTCAATGGCAATAATATTGTTGATGTTATCTATGTAGCATTTCGCACTGTAGAAATGCTCTCTGAATGTGTCATCCTTATCAACGCTATCACTTAAAACAATCAAAAAGCAATAATCTGGAAAAAAAACTATGCAACTTTGTTAAACCCGAGCCTAACCTGCTCAGCTGAGGATTCCAAATGTTGACATAATAAAGATTTCTCTATTTTTGGGACAGTGTGTAAGTGAAGCGATGCTATGCAGTGTCAGGATGGTTTTTCAGCTGGGATTGTTCTTAACTGTTCTTGTTGTTCATGTGGTTTTTACTTTATGCTTTTTATAAGGTTTCTCGTAGTGTCAACTGTTAACATTAAATGTAACTCATATTTTATAAAATAGATGTTTATAAATGCCTTTTAATAAAAGGAGTTCATTGTGATGTATCTGAGTCTGTTAATTGAAAGAATGAGGATTTTGACAAATCAGCAAAGACACTCCAGCAGTTCAATCTACATTGAGATGAACAAAATAAGTGTCTTGGTTGAGCTTAGTATTCTGAAAAATTTGAAATCTATACACAGTAGAATTCCAATTTCCAAAAATGAAATGATCACATTGAAGAAACTCTGATATCAAATGTGTAATCCTTCCTTAATTGTAATAGTAGTTAAAGATTCTTAAATTCTAAAAATCAGTTTCTAAAAAATATATTTTTTACTGAGGTGTAAAGCTTTGATATGAGCATGAAATGTACATCTTCTAATTGAGGAAACCCAGTTTACATGTTAACAATATTATCATATTGACTACAGGATAAACCCTGAATTACTGTGTGTGTGTGTGTGTGTGTGTTTGTGTGTGTGTGTGAGAGAGAGAGAGAGTGTGTGTGTGTGGGTGGGTGCAAGTACGTGCGTGTGAAGGGCACAGATGTTGGTTCTCCAGGCAAGACTTTAATTTATGAAAATGATCTTGTTTATGCATGAGAAGCCCCCTGCTCTCCTGTCTCATTCATACTGTTGCCCTGCTGAGTGTGAGTGTGTGAGTGTGTGTCAACAGGGACAATATGGTGGCCATATCCCACCATTTAGTCTCCCTGTTAAAAAGGAATAACTATGAAAGAGAACATGATGGCAGAGGACAATAATAAATTATTCTGCATTGGTGAAAAGGCCAGACCTTTTTACCAATGTGAAAATATTCACTACAACACCAAGATATATGCATAATGAGCAGAGAATTAAAATAGGTAACACCAGAAATATAAAAAATTTTAAATCAAAAATGTACTTCTAATAGCTTGCAAAAATATAAGTATAGCTAGATATCTGCACTAGTATTCAAAAAAAAAAAAGTACTGCTGAGCATAGTTTTACTCCTAGTTTTTAAAAAAGAATGAATTGATGATTGTGATACATACTTTTTAAATATCAATAACATAGTGCTATTATGTTGGAGAACATATGGCAGACTCCAGTTAAGAATAAAACGCCAAGCCTATGTGGCTTATCGACAGAGGTTTTATATAACAGTGCCATTTATTTTGACTAACTTTTTAACAGAAAATAAATTCTGTGGATGTAATGGAAACCGTAGGATACGTTATGCTACAATATCTTACAGGGTAACTGTGAAAGTTTGAGTTTAATAGGAAATTTATATTTTTCTTGTGAATATTTACATCTTGAAATATTCACCAAATTACTTATTTAGTAAAACAGAAGTTGTGAATAAAACATGAGTCAGGTCAGCTTGGACATGTGACGATACGTGGGTACTGCATTCTTTCTTTAGACCGTTTTAAAAGTTTTCCATTAGCTTAGTCATACAGTGCGCGTTCCTTTTCAGAGGATACGCACGGTAGCGCGCACTAGGGTTACAGGCTCAAGATTATACACAACACCACAAGCACGTGCCCGCGCACTGAGCCGATGCCTTCATGGCGAGACCCCGGAAACACACAGTAACCTGCTGCTGATGCGATTACTGTTAGTTTATCTGTCGCTAGTTTCTTAAAGAAGGAAAAAGGTCTGTTTGTTTATTTATTTGATTGAGTAGTAAACATGTTAGATTCGAGAGAGGAGGAGCTGGGGGTGAAACGAGACAACACGAGAAAGAAGAAAAAAGAGAAACGTAGCGAAAAGAAGACCATCCATAAGGAGGAGGAGACTGAGGAGAGGAGGGGAGAAGAAGAAGAAGAAGAAGAAGAAGGGCAACAGGAGAAGGACAGGTGAGTGTGGTATTAATGGGGGTTCCTGTAGGAGAAACATTCACACAGAAGAAAAGAGTTATGTCACAGGCATTGCTCTAGAAAAAAAAAGTTAAAAGCGTATTAGCAGAACCGCGTTAGCAAAAATCAATCACAGTGTTTCATATTATTGATAAGGAAAATAGGGCCTGTTTTCCTTATGTTTATTTATACAATTGAGAAATAAAGATAACAACGAAATGACCAAACAAAGTACCATGTCCTATATAATTTCATGGTAGCCAAGAACAAGCAAAAGAAATGTGCAAAACACAACAACTTACCAAAACAATGAAGTTGTATGAAGAAGTATGTGAGTAAACAAGTTAAAATTACACTTATTTTCAAAACGGAGTGACCTTTTGGTCCTACTGTATGTATGACAATGGTTGAACTGAAATTAGATTATTTTCATTTATTTTATTTTATGGTCTGTATTGTCATCGTACCATGAGAATACAGTGTAGAACAGAATGAATTGACAAGTAATACTTTGTTATTGTAGTTGTTGTTTATTAAATAATCTGTTTGTAATTGGACAAGATTTTTGAGCTCATTGGTTAGTTGTTATCCCAGTTAGGTGAGATCCTTTTACTATTTTTTACATCTCCAAAACCAAATGAAATGGCGTGTTCAATCCTTTGTATGTTCCAGTGAGGGTGTCTTACTGCGAGGGATCTTCAAACTGGGAAAAAAAAGTCAAGACGTCCTGCTTACCAGAACCAGACTGACCTGGATCCCCATTACACCAGAGACACCGACAGGTCAGCTACCACGTGACTAGTTGTCATGTGATCTTTGCACAAAGACTGTGTGAATGCAGGGGCAGCTGGTGGTGTAATGGATAAGTCGTCTCATAGTGAGACCACCTCAAACTTGACATCTGGACTCACATCTACTGCATTGGAGTCTTTTTGAGTTCTCCTTATGGCTCTTTATTCAAATTCACCAGTAGTTTGTAAAATACTCAATTTTTAAAAAGAAATGTTAATGTTTGCTAAACCTGCTAATCATTGATATGTTTATAACGACACTGGCTAAAACTAAATCAAAACAGTAGAGATTTTGTGAAATATATTTAAAGCCATTCTAATGCTTGTTGTTTTTTGACTATCGATTTTTGTTATTTACCTGATAATATCTCAATATATTTTGGTGTTTGGTGATAGTTATTGTTTAACATCTATTCAGACAGAATAAGTAAAGTGGATCAAGATGAAGGTGTGTATTGCGTGTGTGTCTGTGTGTGTGCAATCTGTTTTTCTGTATTATATCCAAACTAATGACATTAAGCCAAATTTGTGTGCATGTTTGTGTGTGTGCTGGCAGTAGTATAGAGAGCAGTTGGTTCGGCCCATGGGGGGTTATTAGAGTCTCTCAGTGTGAGCAGATTAACACACACAGATATACACACACACAGTTAGCCTGTCAACATGCTGTGTGTGTTGTGTGTGAGTGTGTTGATTATACATTTCTATATAAACGGATTAGCTGTTGTTGTTTATTTACACACATGAATTCATCCTGTCTCATTCAGTGGCCTCGCCGTCTGACAGGGAGACGAGACCCCAGACCTGACAGACACACTGTGTTTTTACGTTAATACCAACCAGCGTCACGTGCTGTACACACAGCGATAGAGATTTAGATTTAAATGGCAACAGGAACATTAGCAGAGTTGATGATTCCTAACATTTTGCAGTTAGTGATTCTCATGACACATGTCACATAACTATGTCTCACTGTCCAATGAATGAAACTAATGATGCTTCATTTGTAAGAACTATGCATAATATTGTTACCAAAAAAATGCCAAGTCATAACCAACAATCCATATCAAATCTAAATTTCAGCTCAGGTGCACACTAGCTGAAGTATCTTCAATATTACATTGATCTTCTAGATTGTGGAAATCAATACTGAACCGAAATCATCGCAGGATCACTGTCATCACTGACAACAAGGACAGAATGTCACAGGGTTGCAGGTGTATGTGTGAGTGTGTGTGTGTGTGTGAAACTACAACCCATAACTCCCCACAGTCAGCCACATGGCTTGGTCACCACGAGCCTGGACTGCCACTGGGTGTGTGTATGTGTTTATGTGAACTATATTGTGATATTTGTAGTAAGGGCCTGAAAATTGGTCAGATTTAGCTGCATGTATTTTACAAAAGCGATCTCATTTGTCTCCTTATGCATCCAGGGGGGAGGCTTTAGATCATTTTGTGTTTGGTGATGGTGAGAAAATTTAGGTTCACAGACAGTGAAGGTGTCCTGACAAATGCCATCCTATGGGATTTTGTGCACGTGTGTGTGTGTGTGTGTGGTTTGGCACAGAGGGTCGGTGACATGATGGCAAACTCATCTCCATCTGGACAAAAACAACATTCAGTTTGAGAATCAACGCAGTGTTTGTTTGTGTGTGGTTTAGGTTGTGCACATGTGCATGTTTGCAGCTCTGTCGGTCCTGTCAGCTAAGATAAGAATCATGTTCAGTGAGGCAGAAGTAGAATCTGTCTGTTGGTGTGATTTAGTGTAGTGATCAAATGTGAAGAAGGTGTTGATTTAGAGGATGTCCTCTGACCTTTTCAGCTGTTACAAATGATTTTTACAATACAATTAGCAAAATACCATATCAAGTATAAAGACTGAAAGGGATGATTTAACTAGGATACGACTTTTTAATGTAGTTTTAAGCTGTAGTTTGGGGGAGAAATACTAGCTCTATTAACCAGCACTAGCATTCAGTCTAATCACACACTTTTGCTAAAACATGATAAAATTTGTCCTGCAGGTCTGTCCTTTCATTTCACCTCAATAAAATTTCTACAGATAAAAAGCAGATTAAAAAATTGCATTTACTATGTAGAACATGAAGAAAACCCTACTGAAAAATAAGACGCAACAGACAGACTGTGACCCTGACATATGGACGTTGGCCTCTCTGGGTGGACGAAGGGTTATGTGATATTTGATAACAGCAGGAGGGCATTTTATAGAGGAGGGGATAATCAGCCTTCAGTGAATCTGACTGCTTGCTGCTGCACATAGATTTGCCAAGAGATATTGTTTTTTGTGTCTGATCATAGACTGAGTATAAAGAATGAACAACAGTAAAGAGTAGTAAACATTTGTAAACAACCTAGAATTTATTGCTTTAAGTATTTAATCTATCATTCTAAGATTAAAAAAGCAGTATTTACAAATGATTCCATGTTATTTAAATTAATAGAAAGGTTTGTGAAGATGAAGACATTGACGTTTCAGGGCAAGCACTGTGTGTAGGAAAAGTGTTGGTTCTTAAGACTGACTCTAATCCATTACATCAGCATGGATATTATTATTAATGACATTATAAACGGGGCGGGGCAATTATACAGTCCACATGAACTGATCACATGTGAGCATGCCATTGGTCGGACATGCAGAGATTACACAGACATGTGCACAGACGTGTGCTGTTTTGATCATCACTGGATTAGTGATTAGTAATACAGTAATATTGTTATGTAACAACACATGAACTGTCCGCAGCACGCTGCACTGAACAACCTGAGGTTGATTGATAATTGCATAGCACATGGTGAATTCCAATACATTATGATGAACTATAATTCTTAAATTTCAACTACTGTATTCCAGTAGTAGGATAAAATTTGATATAATTACAACAATTCCAGAAAAGTAAGAATAAAGTTCAAAATGTTGTTTTCAGAACTTTCAGTACACACAGTACTGGGACCATATTCATTAGATACTACCACCTAGGAAGCATGTGATTGAACAGTTCAAAATATCTGGCCAACATAGTATACATACCAGGTATGTGTGATTTGCAGAAACTTTGAATAGCTCAGACATGTTTGCGTCTCACCTGCAGAAGAGCCACGCGTTCTACACCCTGAAGTGTTACTGCTGGAAGATGTGTTTGCAGTGAAGGTGAAGAGGCGGCGAGCAGCAGGCCAGCAGTCGGGGGGACCTGTGCTTGGTCTGACCCTGTTCCACAGCCGGAGGAAAGGGAGGAAGCTGGAAGAGGACACACTTCACCTCCACAACGCCTCATCTGAACATACATACCGCTGGTACAACAAAATCAAAGAGCTAGTCACAGGTGAGACGCTGATTTAAAATACAAAGAAAGAGTAATAACAAAGAATAATTATTATGACATTTTGGAATGTAGTATTTGAAAAAAACACAATAGAAGCCTGTACGATATTACTGTATATACATTTACTGCATAAACTGATTAGAAATTACTGGATGAAAATCACAATAATTTACACATTTTCATAGATATTTGACAATGTTTCAAAACTTATTTGATATTAATTTACAATTTAATGAACAATTAATTGATAATATATTGCTTTTTTTTAACTTACTTTTAAATATTCTGTGATAAATAAGAACTGTAAATACAGAATAAAATTTAAATCCTGAATATAATTCAACAGTAGGTAATGGTAATTGAGTAGGGTTTTATTAAAGTAAAACATGTTTGTGTTTTGTAAGAGCTACACAGAGGAAACATGACTCAGTATTTCTGTGAACGTCATCCTATAAGATGATTACAGACACTTGTGAGTAATACTGCTTTTATTAGCACTGTGGTGGATGGATGGATGAATATGCTAATGGGTTTACAATGTTAATAAATTTGTCCTAAATCTTTATGTATAATGTCTTTATCCAGCAAGGCCCCATTTTGAACAAAACTCCTGCCTTGTTTTGTAAAAAGAAAAAGTCATTATTTTCGTTTGCAGTATAAAGGCTGTGAAATAACATTAAGAGGAATTCTCCAGATTAGCTACTGGGTCATGTCACACTAGCTGTATTGGTTGTTCTGTGATTTTATTGTCTTGTGCCCGAGCACCACTCACTTTAATGAAGTAACTCTCAGTTACATCAGATGGGAGCTGTAATCTGCTGCTGGCCACTAATCCACCTGAACAAAAGAGCACACACACATTCAGCTGAGCTGTATTACTTCCTGTCAGCAGCTAAATCATTTTGTCCGTAAAAAAGATTATCTCAAACACAATCTATAAATAATATCATTTGTACTGGATTCAGCCCATAGTGTGAGGACAGTTGATAATGACACCTGAGGAGAAACCTGCAGCAGGTTTGCGAGCTTCACTGCTGTAAACCCATGGTCAAAGCTGTTCTGCTGTGTTAATGTAGAGACTGGAGTTGTTCTCAAGTTTTTCCAGCGAGTACCATTACCAGTACTTTTTTAGGTTGGGTTTTAGTATTTATGGAATGAGCGTTATGCAGTGGGGTGACGTGTTATCTTCCAATAACGCAATGAAAAAGACATTGCCATCATTGTTTTAGTAAAATTAAACTGTAATAACAGTATTTTATGCAACTCAACAGTGTCTTTTCTCAAGCTTGGGAGCATGATCTAGATTACAGAAAAAACAGCACAAGAAGTTTTTCTTCGTGTCTATCTTCATGTTATCTCTCAATGTTAAATCCATCACCTAAGAATATGTTTCTGAACCATTCCTGAAGCATAAACCTGCATGGATTTACACAACATAAGCCTCAGTGTTTGGAGCAACTCTGTACAGAACGCATTTAATAAAAGTCTGAATTTCCCAGACGCTGTTTTCCCAGGTGCACTGTTGTGGGCGGTGCCTGGCTGACACTTAAACACAATAGAAATGTTGGGAGAGTTGGGTGTATGGGTTTAACACACACACACACACAGAAACACACGTGTTACAGATATTAGGTTCATCCAGAGATGTCAGCACCAACAGAGACATTACAATCCCCTCATAAATGGAGAGGTCAGAGTTCAAGCACACATTCTACTGTCGCTCCGTCACCATGGCATTGCTCTGACACATTATCGCTGGTCACCTGTCTTTCTGTCCGTCTGTCTGTCTATCAAACCAGATTACCCATGAGGCCCTGCAGCAAAGTCACAACTTCTTTACATGTGTGTCTCTGGCACCTCACACACACACTGGTGCATAGGTCGTGTGTCAGCTCACATGGTCACACCGCACATCAAACTGTGATGGCTTTTGTTATTTTGTGACTTTACACACCGTAGCGCATGAGTGAGTGTGTGCGTGTGTCGGTGTGAGGAAGGTCAGCACACACACTCTCCCGGTCGCTCTGCTGCTGTGTGGACATTAAGCCTATTTTCCAGCCAGAGGTCAGTGTGAAAAGCGCATTGTCTGGCGAATCGTGGCGTTCGTGAAGCAGGCAGTCCAACGCCACTTCTTAACCTCCAGGTCCAAACATTCAGCTGCACAATGGTGAGCAGAGAGCAGACACTTCCTGTCTTCACAGCGTTATTCTGAGCAGTGCGCTATGAGAAGCAGCTGCATAACAGTGTGTAGCGGGTGAATAGCAGTGCGAGTAACAAAAGGCGAACAGTGATGCTGTATAGTCTCTTTTATGCACGCTCTTAGACGTCTGGGGAGACGGACTGCAGTTTGTTCCTTCTGCAGCGTGCTGACAGGTCAGTGCTGGAACTGATGGGAGTCATGGAACGATTAGTTCTAACATCAGTCACATCAAAACCAGAAAACATTCTACTTGCGTAGCATGCCTCGTCAACTGCTCTGCAATAATAATTAGAACATTTTATGAGGTTATGAATATCTACATTTTACACAAGCTAAAGTAATATTAATAAAAACATCAATTACAATCAAACTACCTGCTGAGTGGGATTTTTTTTTGTCTCACATGTTACTCAGTGCCGTTACAATAACTGGAAGGAAGATGACTCTGTCTTTACTGGAAACTTTTTTTTTTTATTAAGCCAGTGACATTTTTGCCTCAAAAATGTCTTGTGAATGTTTCACTTTGTTGGTTTGTGATTATCAAAAACAGCAACCATCACAGAGTTTTGGCAGTTAGTGAGAATGCCACTTCAGTTTAACTCTCATAGGAGAGTAGAAGGAATCACTGACATAAATTCTTAGGGTTAAGGTTGAATGAGTTTTTTTAGACTACATTTATGAATAAGGTATATTTATGTACAAGTCATTCAGAAACAGTTCATTGTCATGTTTTCCTTCTAACATCAAGAGGGATATGCTGCTCCATTTGCATTACTTGTAGTTTAAGTTAAGTAGTAACTGTGGATTGGTTATATACCTTTTAAAATTTGTATCTAATACTAATATATTGGCATAATCAGTTCATAACAATTTTATAATATTTTCCTTATCAAAATTATTGGCCTTATAGTCATAATCCAATCGTGAGCTGCCCAGAGATTCCCAGCTGTATTAATCCGTGACGTCTTCTGCCTCTGTTTCTGTAGTTTTCTTACTGACTTAAACAACCAATGATGCTCTGTTTACCTCTCTTGTTCCACTGGCTTCTAATTTAAGACCTTTTTGTTACATATTAACATGGGTCTCTCAACCCACTGTCTGTAATCTGTGGAGTACAAACCTTTTATATGCAGTCAGGTTTTACAGGAAGCAAACTTACTTAATTATAAGCACAGACGTACTAAACAGTATATCACACCAATTAATTTAATACGTCATCGAACCCTGCAGTTTGTTTAATTTTGCCTAGTACAACCTGTAAACACAGATGTTTGTCATAAGGTGCTGGTGTTTTAATCACATTTAGAACTAGATTAAAACTAGACACGTGTTGTATGTTTACTTTTATTTCTACGTCTTTACCACGTACTTCATAATTCATAGTAACTCCTGGTTATTAACTGTGGTTGGTTAAGTTAGACAGTAGTTAGTGTAAAGTACAAATATTTAAAAATTATAATTTGATATATGAAAGGTTAGAAAGGGTGACTAGAGTCAGTCATTTGTAAAGTGTGGCTACAGACATAGTCAGTCTGTTCTGTCAGTGAGACTTCAGTGCTCAGACTTCAAGGTTCCAACGACATTGGGATTGTTTACCATGGTGATGCTTCAGGAACACCATAGTAACCAGCCACTTCCCTAGTCTGCGAGATGATCTGATGAACACCTGATATCCCAACATGTCTATGTCTGTCTGCCTTTGGCCTGAGGAAAAAAAAATAACTATTTGAATGTAACCATGTTTTATCAGGACTCTGATGTGAATATTTACTGACACTGGATAAGAACTTCGGGTCCAGGGCTGAATCACCTGCTGTGGTTTAGACATTAGCTTAAAGTATTTTTTTCTGGGGCAGGCTGGGGGAGGGGGGTGGCAGCATTGGACCACTGGGTGGAGGAGGTTAATTTCCACAGAGAAAGTCAAGGTCTTCATTTACAGCTCAGTCTTTTAATTTCCAGTAATAAAAGAAACGTAGTAAAAGAACACTGCAAAAGGTTGTTCCATAAGTGTTTATGGAACCTCCAGGTCAATGGACCACTAAAGTCTGAGAGTCACTTATTCCCATTGAGTCCCCTTGTTGTGGTCTTCAACTTGACCCCTAATTAAATGGGTTTTTTCTTTGATCCCCTGATTTATGCTGTATATTTTGGACAGTAAATAATAATAAATAATGAGGGTGGACTTACAGAAGGTGGTCACCCAGCCCTTTTGTGTCTTTTCTTTAGTTTGTTTTGGGGGGGGGTACATGAGGGTGGGGCTTCTGGTAATGGTTGGTGTCCAGTATAAAGATGAGTGGTGATGGTGTTGAGTGACTCCCCCTCAGAAGAAACTCCTGAGAGCTGGGTCAGAGCCATGGGGTGTTGTGTTGGTAGGGGGTGCACTGTGTGTGTGTGTGTGCAGGGTCATTAACAGGGCGAGGTCATGGCCTTTTGGGAACAGATTATTGTAATGAGTGGGATAATGGAGCTTGTGTGTGTGTGTGTTTGTGTATTGATCTGTACTGGTCTATGGGGATTTATAATGCGGTCTCTAAATCTTCCTAATGATGAGCTGAACGGGGGGTTAGCTCGTGTGTCTGTGTGAGTGTGGGTGTGGGCTCGTGTCTCTGTAGTTAGCAGTCAATGCCATGCAACCACACTAAGTCTTTCAACAGTGCTAATAATTAGCCTTGATATCATCATGATGATAGGATGTAGCTTTTAATCGCATATTCAAATCGGCACTTAACATGTTTTATTAATCAGTTAATGAAGTAGTGTTTCCAAAACAAATGTACAACAGTCTCCAATCCTCATATTTATGGCCATAATCAGAGAGAAGCCTGTGTTGTTTTAAAAGAAAATCAAAATTGAATCAATTTGAAAAGTTTTTTTAATATCATGTCAATGCCATGGTTTGATGAATTATTTTAAAATTAGTTGTTACAATGTTTTTGTATTTTAGATCATGTCCAAAAGAATTTTGTTTTTGAAGTATGCTTGGTTTTTTTGTCAAGTTTAAACCATTTTATTTTTTTGCTACTCTGGACTAACTCTGAGTTATCTTGAGTGGCTCGGTTTGCTCTTTTTGGTTTTGGCTTTAGCTAAATATCTAGTTAAGTCTTTTCTGAGCCAAAGTTTGTTATTGGGGTTAAGACACCAATCCTGCAGATGAACATTTCCACTACAATTGTCGTAAAAAAGGTTGGGTTGATCAGATGTTGTTGAAGTTTTTGCTAATTTGTGGCTGTGGTTTTGTTTGTCTGCAGGTTTCACGATTCGCCCCAAGTTTCTCAAAGTGTTCATCAACCCCAGCAGCCACAAGAAGGAGGCGGTGCACATCTACAGAGATCACGTGGCTCCGCTCTTCAAGATGGCAGACGTGCGCACTGACATCACAGGTCTGTGTGTGTTTCTCTCTATGCCACTTTCAGTCAGTAATGAAGAAAAAAAAACTTTTTGGAGCATTGGAGACTTTTATACATTGGTAGGATTTTTTAAGCAGTGAAATTAAACTGATCTCATTCAGTAACACAGGAGAAAGTGCGTGATTGTGTGTGTATGTAGACAAAGTCCAAAGGTCAGAGTTAATGGCTGTCTCTCGTCACTGGGTAACCTGATACAGTGGGCGGAGCCTAGCCCATCTGTTGTAACAGAGGGAGACAACCTGCACCTCTTTTTCCCGTTTCCTCGTCCTTTCCCTGTTTCCCATCTTTGACTTTTACTGCTTCTCACCCTCCCTGTACCAATTATCTCCTCTCCTCTCCCCTCCCCTGCTCTTTTCTCCTCCCATCCCATCGTCTCCTGTCTCATTTTCTTTTCTTTCTTCTCTTGTCCCCTTCTTTCCCCTCTCCTCCTCTCCTTTCCCCTTTCCCCTTCTCCTCTCAGCAGATGGTGTGATATCCGTTGTCCGACTTTTTCTTGGCAGCCATCAAACACACTAGTGTACATGTGACCACACACATGCATGAACACTATTTGCCTGTCTCAGTGTCCTTCCATCTGTTTACCTGTCTCTCTTCATCTTTCTGTCTCTCTCTCTCTCTCTCCTTCCCTCCTTCCCTCCAGTGACAGAGAGGACGGGTCACGCTCTCTCAGTGATGAAGGAATGCAAACTGGATGAATACGATGGGTCAGTGTTCTCACATCTCCTGTAACTCTGTTTGCTCCTTCTTATTAGAATGAGAGAAGGTGATATCTGACTTCAAATATTGTCATTAAATTTCCTGAGATTATTTTTATGCTGATATGACATCAATAGGTTCTGATATTTTGTAGTTTGCAGAAGAGAAAAAATAATTTAAACTAATTTGTTTACTTTGAAATACCAAAAAAAGTACTCATGAGTTATTTCCCATTTTTGTCAAAGTTTAATTACTAGTTTATTTATTTTATTTTGTTTATTAAGTTTTTAATTACACGTCACCATTTGAACTGCAGATCACTTGGGTAAAAATAACAGGCTGACACTAAAACACACTGACCCAGACTAAACACACACACGAACACACACACAGTCTGGTCATTGTAGACCTGCCTCATTAATAAAAGTTTTTCCTACTACTTGTCCCTCCCTCCCACACCTCCTTCAGTAAAGGGGAGATTTTACACTGTGATATAATGCTGTTCACACAGTCACATTAGTGGAACTTTACAGTGGAAGTACGAAAATGAAAAGTAATTGGCTTAAGTTATTAAGTCTATTTTTGTAAGGGTTATGTAGTGTATGTTGATTTTTGGCACAATTGAAAAATAAATGTAAGTCAATGGAATATTTTCTGAAGCCATGAAGACACACAAAGTATACACACACACACACACACTGTGTGTGTGTCTAAGCAGCTTTTGTGCTCAGCCCTCATGAAGCTTAATGTGCTTAGAGAAGATTAGCTCAGCGTTGCTAAGCTAGCTGCTGAGCGTGTGTGTGTGTGTGTATGTGTGTGATGCTCTGGTGAGGATTTGGTTGAAGCCTACATTTGCCAATTAGGCTGACTGTCACCGTGGCGACCGGAGCTTCAGGTAATCCGGTCCACAGGAGGAAGAAGGGGGAGGGGAAGAGGGCGGAGTCAGTTCACCTCACACTGACTGCAAGCACACAGTAAAGATGAACATTCTGGAAACTTCACTGTGCTCCAGACCTTCTTCTTTTCTCGACAGGTTGTAAACATAAGTTTACCAAACAAGGTTTTATCTCAAAGCCTTGGATTTCAGGATTCGATTCCTGCCAAATCATGTTTTAGTCTCTGAGATAACAAAGTTGCGATGCAAATATGTATCTATGAGGTGGAGGATCTACCTATCTATCATATTTTTGTCTTATTTGCTTCCTGATTTTTCAACACTGATTAGTAAAAACCATAAATCAAGAGATAAAATAGCCATAATTTTTGATAGCCTCTAACAAAGTACTTTTTCTAATTAGCATTGTCACCCCCTAGTGGTGTATACACTTCTACGTCAAACCTTCTACAGATGGTGACATCCTTTCATTATATACTGTGCAGGTGTTTTTTATCCCTTCTGTCCTGACTCTGGTCTGCCTCCACCTGTCTGTCAGGGTGCTGTGTGTCGGAGGTGATGGATCAGTGGCAGAACTTTGCCACGCTCTGGTCCTCAGAGCTCAGCTAGACACAGGCTCTCCAGAAAAACCCGTGAAGTCAACGCTACCACTGG